AACCCAAGCACAAAATTTGCAAGTCTGTAACTGTACCTCATGGTGTTTCACTAATAAAAAAAGAAAAAAAAAAATAAAAGAAAGAAAAAAAAAGGGGGGGGGGAGGAAGGATTCCAGTCTACTTTTCCCCCCTCTTTGTTACCTTGATGCTCTACTGCTCAGAGGTGATCATATGTTTGCCTGTGTTTTCCCCTTTTATCTCATTTTGTTTCTGTAAATCCTTATGATATTATAAGATATTCCCAAACTTAAAAAAAAAAAAAGAAAGTAGAGTCACAGGGTCAAGTCTGTCATGGCAACCTCTTGCCTCCCATCCCACCCTACAACCATGTACATAACCAAAACTCCATGATGAAGAATGGTTTGGTGGGGAGTGAGGCACACTTGAGAGACTATGTATATTCTTAAGGGGGTCATTCTGATGATTTGAGCAGATCAAATAAGGTGCCAAGTCAAGACGGCCAGACCAGGTACAGAGATTAAAGACCCTGCACACAAGCTGTACAGTAGAATCCCTGTGAAAGAATATGGTCAAATCAGAATTCTAAGCTTAACGCTCATTGTAGAAAACCTATGATTACCTTTTTATTGTTGTGTTCACTTTAAATTAATTCAGGGCTTCTACCAAAGCCATCTCTGTTTCAGGTGCATGAAAATGAACTTTCTACAAGAGAGAAGTATGGTTTTGTGTTCAGTCGAGTTCTTTTTGAGAGTTTAACAGAGATTATTGCCAATAAGATGTGAAGTTTGGAGTTGCTTTTTGGGGGCTGTCAAGTAAGTATTAGATAAGAATGAATGTTGCTAAGTGAAATGAGTCAGAAAGAGAGGGACAGACATAGACATGCACTCACTTGTGAAATATAAAATAACACAGTATGAGAATAACACCCAAGGACAGTAGAGACAAGGGTCAGGAAGATTGCTCCATGGTTGGAAGCCTGCCTCAGAGCTGGGGGAGAAGGGAGCTGGGATAGAGAAGGGACCACTAAGTTAATGATGGCTGAAGAATTGTTGGGGATGGGAGATGTGTGCTGAAAGTAGATAAAGGACCAAACATGATGGTCCCTCAGTATCTATTGCAACCCATAATGCCCAAAAGTAAAGAGCAATGGGGCTGGAGCAATAGCACAGCAGATACGGCATTTGCCTTGCATGCGGCTGACCCAGGTTCGATTCCCAGCATCTCATATGGTCCCCTGAGCACCGCCAGGGATAATTTCTGAATTAATGTGACCTAATTTGTTTTTCAATTTGTACAGTCTAATTTATATTATCCATAAGCAAACACACTGCTATTCAATTTTTCATTGCATTAAATAAACTATGAAACTTTGAAAAAAAACCTATTTGTGGGGCTGAAGTGATAGTACAACAGCGGGTAGAGCATTTGCCAATCTAGGTTCGATCTCTGGCATCCCATATGGTCCCCCAAGCACTGCCAGGACTAATTCCTGAGCATAGTTGGGTGCGACCCAAAAAGAAAATAAAAAAAGAAAAAACCCAATTGTATTATCATTACTGTTCTGGTTTTGGGACCACACACCAAACTATATAATATATTATATATATAATAACTATATACTATATTATTGTTATTATTACTTGTTCAGGGTTTACTCCTGGTTCTGTGCACAGAAATCACTCCTACTGGGGTTTGGGGAATCACTACCAGGAGTGCTGTGGATCAAATTCAAGCTGGCTGCCTGCAAGGCAAGTGCCCTACTCATTGTACTATCACTCCAATCATGGGGCTTTAATAAAATTCTATTAAAAACTAAAATAAATAAATAAATAAATAAAGTAGGTTCTTTTGGTGATATAGAGAAGTGTCACCTAAGGAGTTTGCTTTATATATTTTGCTTGATTTTTAGTTTTTTTTTTTTTTTAAATCACATATTCCAAAACAAAAGGTCACTTCCCTCCCCTCCCCCCCTTCTAGGAGTAAGAAGTACAACAAACTTGTCTAATTTGGAATCAGATGGATAACCAATTTTGTGTCTTCAGAAGCAAATGGAAGAGCTTGAGTAACAGTAGAGTGTACAGGGTATTTGCCTTGCATGCAGCCAACCCAGGTTCAATTCTCAGCATCCCATATGGTCTCCTAGCACCACCAGGGGTCACCCCTGGGAATTTCTGGGTTTGGCCCCCAAACAAACAAACAAACAAGATGGAAGTAAACAGAGAATGAAAACACATCATTTTCCACTTTGACAACTCAAACGAGCTTCAGACAAATGATAATGTTTCAACCTTCTCATGCTGAGACAAGTCCTTCAGTTTTCATCTAATAAAACCTCAGTAGTGTCTAGCCCAAGGCACCTTTATTCTGTCTCCAAATGACTTGAACACAAGTCCCAGCCCAGTCTCGCAGCTGAGCCAGGCACTGTGCAGTCTGGATGCACGAACTCTTCTGGCACAGATCAGTTCACTGCCCACGCAAGTGGGCAGCTCCTCTGAAAGTGCTCACTTCTCACTGCCTCAGGTGATGAAGGTGATGTGCTACCCTTGGCCTGACAAAGACACTGGATGTCTATTGTAGACCCTGGGCAGCAACAAGCCCTGCCACAAACAAGGGGTCAAAGGGGGCGGGATTTTAAACAGAAACTAATTTCATGGAAGTGTAATTCCTAATTAGAAAACCTTTCTTGAACAACAACTGTATAAGCTCACAAAATAAATAAGTGAGCAGCAGCAGCATGGTCTCTCTCTCCTGCCACGTGGGTTTGGCAGCCTCCCCACCTCGGCCTGCAGCTGCCATGCCAGCAGATGCATGAAGGGGGAATAGGGCCGCTGGGCCGGTTGGTGATCAGTTGCTTTTATTCCCTCCTCTCCACAAGCCAGTTTCAGTCTCACTGAGCGCCCCGGCTGAGTCTCACACTGCCCCTCATTCCTGGCTCCTCCTGTCCCCCCCTGCTGGTCTCTCCCAGCTCCGTCTGGCTGTCTGGCAGCCTTTCTTGTGCCCAACCTCCAAGCATTGGGGGTAGCAACTACCCACAGGTGAGGTAGCACAATCAACATATGTAAATCTCTTCCTTCCGGGGAAGCTCTTCTAAGACAATGATCTCCTACAGCCAGGATATTTGCTCAAGGGGGTGTTTTTATCTAAGGGCATACTTCTCCTTTCCTTTACAGTCCATAAACAATCATCTTAGACTTCTTAATAATTGATCATTTGGTATGGACACAGTTACTGAATGTTACCTGCCCACACGGCAGAGTCTGGCAAACTCCCCATGGTGTACCCAATATGCCAAATACCAGTAACAATGATGGGTCTCATTCTCCTAACTCTGAAAGAGCCTTGAACATGGCACTTTTTAAAATCTCAGGGCTAGGATGAAGGAGACAGACGTTACCGGGGCCTGCTCGAGGCAATCGATGAACAACAGGATGATTGTGATTGTGAACAGTAAGAGATACATAAAGCTTATAGGGTGGCTCTCTTGGGGACAACTCACTATAGATCCCAGTCTACAGTGCTCAGGCCAGATAGTTCTTTCCTAACCCTAGCAGGGTCCTAGTCAAGTTTTTTCTCTTTGGATCATGATAGTATTTGTCCATGATCATGCTCTTAACTTATAGTTAAGGATTATGGTGCTTGGCCTGGCCCTTTTCGATGCCAGAGTAGCTCACGGCTTGCCCTTGGGTTCATCCAGTCCCTTCATCAGGACCCTGCTTTTGGGGTGCTAGGAATTAAGGGCAACTGAGGCTTAAATTGAGAAAACAGATACCCAGGAGTGAATATTATTCTGAGTCAAATGACTCCCAAGTTATAAAAGCATAGTATTAGCTGGCTTCCAGTGACTACACAAAAAAGACATTGCTCTAAAGTAAACTATGCAGAAGGACATAAGGGAAGGAGAAAAGTGATATTTGACTTACAAATACAAATCCAGAGATTTCTGGGGAATGACTGCTTAGGGGAAATAGGTGGTTAACCGGTTGGGGAAGAGAGCACAGAGAAGTTAAGACAAACACAGAGGAATGGGAGTGCCAAAGGAGCACTGTGAATGGTGTAATCCAATAAACCTAAACTCCCTGTGGCCAGGGAGAAAGGACAAGCCAATGTTATTTATCCTACAAACAAAAAAAGTATATCATTTTAGGGACCCCAAACTGAATTCTGTTCTCGTTCTTTTTCAAGGTGATAACCAACAACTGATTCATTTCTTTTACTAGGAAATACACTGCTGAGCTGCACTGTCTTCTCTGTCTGTGCCTGTTAGCATGCGGTGGTTGTAACAGAAAGCTATCAGCCTGCCTCTGTGCCAGAAAAGATTAAGAAAACATAATCAGCAGCAATTTGAGAATTAAATATGTTGCTTCTGAAAGGCACAGTGGTCTTTCCTTGACACATGTGATAATTTTGTGGATTTTCAGTTCTGAGCAAAATCTGTCTGGTATATCTATACACGCCACTTTTTTTTTTTTTGGTATAGAAGTCTATTTCTTTTTTTATTGCCTCGAGATACATAATTACAACGCTATTCATGACTGGGTTTCAGTCATGCAATGTTCTAACACCCATCCCTTCACCGGTGTTACCTTTCCTGCCACTGACGTCCCCAGCGCGCTCTCTCTCAATGTTCTTTTTTTTTTTTGCTTTTTGGGTCACACCTGGCGATGCACAGGGGTTACTCCTGGCTCTGCACCCAGGAATTACCCATGGAGGTGCTCAGGGGACCATATGGGATGCTGGAAATCGAACCCGGGTCGTCCGCGTGCAAGGCAAGCACTCTACCCGCTGTGCAATCGCTCCAGCCCTTCTCAATGTTATTTCTAAAAAATCATCATGCATATATCACTGTACTTCCTTTCAGCACTCAGTTCTTAACCAGAGTGACCATTTCCAATTATCACTGTGTATATACAGACCATTTTTCAAGGCCCAGTTTTCAATAACCCGGGAAGTACAGGGTCTGAGCAAGAAGAGAAAACATGCAAACATGCAGCACTGAACATGGGGCTTGTGACCCACAGAAGGTCGGGTCAGTTCTCACCTGTCACTGTAAACAGACCTCTCAAAGATCTGCACGGCGCTGCTGGCCTGGAACAGTCTCTCGGGAACAGGCTCCATCTGGGTTTTCAGGCGGCTCAGGAAAGAAAATGTCTGGAATGTATAGGACCATCGTGCTGGCTCCTGGTACAGCATATCGAGCAAGTTTCCAAGACTCTGGGTAGTGGAGGCCTAAAGAGAAATTACAAAGAAGGAGAATTTCCTAGGAGGCTATTTGCTTGGCGGTGCTTGTCGTCTCCCCTTGCAGCAGGCTTAATAACCAACTCGGGAAGTAATTACAGAAGTTTCCTCCCACTGAAGAGACACAATCCCATTCTCCAGTTTAATCAAGGCGACGGAATCAAGGACAAGATTTTCCCACCTTACAGGGAAAGAGCTTGGTAGAGATGACACGCTTCCTTCCATATACCAGAGAAGAAAAGGGGAAGCACCACACGTGCAATTAGAAAGCTCACCGACAATTAGAAAGCTCACTGACGATGGATGGGGTTACTGAGTCTGCGGGAGGAGCTCACCATCAAGACCATCTGAAACTCCCTGCAGTCAAATCTCTCCATTGAAACACTATGTTGCCTTTTCTTTTGGGCATCCATTTGTAGCTGTTTCTTTATAACACTTCAACCCAGAGGAGAGAGGAATCGATGAAAAAGCACCAATCAAAAGAATGAGTGCTCCAAAGGACTTAATGCAGAACCCAGCAGCTTGGAGCAGAAAAGTGAACGGACTCTGCATTGATCCAGGCCATCAAGTCTGCCGGAGGGGAAAGGGTGTTGCCCCATTCGCCCTCTCCTCTTTGGAAAGAAAGATGGCGGCCACATGGGAGCCTTGTGGACAGCAGGTATGAGCCGGGAGTGTGGGGGCGACTAAAACCTCATGGGAAGGGGGGCGTTTCGGTCCGCCCTTCACGCCCTACCGAGGCCACCGGTTGCCCCCCGCGAGCGGCTCTCCAGCACGGCCAGGACTCCAGAACACAGAAACCAATTTCTTAACTATCTGACTTTCAGTAGAAATACTTCCAGGGTCAATAGGTAAAAGAGCAGAAATCCAAAACCAACATTTAATTCTTGAACCCAGCCGTAGAAAGCAAATCACTTCACAATGCTTTTTCAGCATGTCTGATTTGGGGGGGGGGGGTAAACTCTAAATAATAGTGGTGAATCTTTTATTGAAACAATGAATCTAATCAAAGCAGATAGAGTGTTAACTAGAATTCATCTGCTTCACAGGGACGGGGAGGGGTGGGGGGTGGGGTTTTATTGGGGTTCTTCATGGTAAAAAATAAGTATTGGTAAAGGGAAATGTGTTTGATATTTGCATGACTGAGACATAAACCTGAAAGCTTTGTAACCTTTCCCACAGTGATTCAATAAATAAAAAAAAAAAAAAAAAAAAAAGAATGAGTGCTCCAGCACCCCCCCCCCCCCCCCCCCCCAGCTACAACTGGTTTAGCAAATAAAAGCAAACAATCCTCCTCCGTTGTAGAGACCTTACAAAAGACATGTGCGGATCCCCGTCCTTGGCATGTGCAGGTTTGTGTGCAATACTCGGGAGTCCTGGATTCTTCCCTGGTTGGGCAAACATGGTCTGTGCATAAAGCACGTTGAAACTGCAGTCACTCAGTCATCACTGACGGAAAGCCTATGTAGAAGAGGCACTGCACGGACTGGGTGCTATAAGGAGCACAGAAGACTGTCTCCTAGGAGTCGGCTTGTCCCGAGCAAAACAGACTGCCTCTTTCCTTTTGAATTGTTCATTTTTCATTTTTCATTTCATCATCCTGTTATTCGTCGATTGCCTCGAGCAGGCCCCAGTAACGTCTCCTTCATCCTAGCCCTGAGATTATATTCAAGGCTCTTTAGGAGAATGAGACCCATGATTGTTACTGGTATTTGGCATATTTGGTACGCCAAGGGGAGTTTGCCAGACTCTGCCCTGTGGGCAGGCTACATTCGATAGCCTGCAAGTTTGTCCAAAGTAGGAAGGAGACAATAAGATGTCATAAAAAAAGTTCTGATAAGATGTCGCGCGGCCGTGCATGCGGCCGCGCGGTTCCGGAATCTGGATTTTATAGTCTCTGAGTCTTGGCCGCTGATGGGATTACACGGCGCCAGGGGGCCAGGTGGTGGGTGTGACCCCCGCCTACTGGAATTTGGAGGATCTGGGTGGAAGATGCTCGACTCCAATTCGAGTAGGCTTGGAGGTCTCGGCCCCGGAACCCGCGTGGCTTTGTCCCTCTGCCAGTACCTTCATGTGTGCGGAGAGTGGTCTCAGCATGGTGGTGGCTGGTCCTGGAGGTCTACTTGAATTGTTCAATAGTTTTTATATCTAAGGCAATCCTGCTATCATTTCATCTTCAAAGGGGTTTCATGAACTAGATACTGTATTATGTCCATTTTCCTGCGGAACAAAACCTGCTCAGAAATAAGTAACTTACTAGTCCCAAGATTTTGTGGGACATAAGACTAGAATGAGGAAATCAAATCTGACTTCCTCTAGCTTCATTCTAAGCCTTCTGCAGATACAAGTGATAAGGCACAGTTCCCAAACTCAGGAAACGCATAATACAAAAGGGAAGGGGAGTGATAAGAATATAAAGACTATGGATACAGGGAACTGGAACAACAGTACGATGGGTAGGGCATTTGCCTTCCACATAGCCGACCGGGGTTCAGTCCCCAGCCCTGCACAGGGTCTCCTGAGCACCACTAGGAGTGATCCCTGACTGGAGTCAGGAGTAAGCCCTGGGCACAGCTAGGAGTATGGACCAAAAACAAAGAACAAAAATAAAAGCAAAGCCAACCTTTTTCTTTAAGTGCAGTATGAAAAGAAATATTCTCAGAAGTAAAAAATGCAATTGCTAACATAAGACTCTCAGTGAAGCTCAATTATTAGCAAACTGAATACTGCAACAAACCTAATTAATGAATATCGTGTAGTCAATTCAAGCAGTTCTCCTGAAATTACAAGATCATTAAAAAGCAGAAAATTATGAAAGAACAGACCGAAAAACAAAACTAAAACCACAGATAAACAAGTAGGAGATGAACATACATGGATAAAAAGCAACACATATTTTTTGCTTTTTATTTTTTTCCCCTAAAAGACACATCAGGGGCTGGAGTGATGGTACAGCAGATAGGGTATTTGCCTTCACGTGGCCAACCCTGGATCGATCCCTGGCATCTGGTATGGTTCCCCCGAACTCTGCCAGGAGTGATTCCTCAGTGCAGAGCCAAGAGTAACCCCTGGGTATTGCTGGGTGTGGCCCCAACCCCCAAAATAAATAAGACCTCAAAATGTACCCCACGTTCTTTACCTCAGTAATGAACACAATTCTCTATTAATAGGAGTTAAAATGACCATCAACGTCATAGCACTCTGAGCTCAGAGAAAGCGACCTAACCAAGGAAACAGTTTTCCTTCTCATGAGCTCAGTTGTGGAGAGCTCTGATATATACCTCCACTCGAAGAAACTACTAAGGTGTGTGGCTCTCTCATCATGTCAAGCAGGCACCGAGAATCACTATTTAGCAGAAACATGGAGTGTCTCTAGATGTTTTAGAACAAATAGAGTTAAAAATCATGGTTCAACTAGGAGTTATGAGGCTGAAATGATCAGATGAAAATGCGATATAAGTTAAAAAAAGTTTAATATATCTGAGATACAAGGCTTTTTCTAGCAGAGAAATTAACTAAATACCAAAAATGATGTTAAACATATTTAGGTCGGTAGGTTACATACACAAAATGTCAGAACTAATACAAACAACAAAACATAAAAATGGGGGTGAGGGTGGGGAGGAACGTGTGAGTTTAAAAAAAAAATTGGAGCCAGTTAACCCTTCCTATCTCTCCACAACAAAAACTACTTTGGGGCTAGAGTTAATAGTACAGTGGGTAGGGTACTTGCCTTGCACACAGCTGACCCAGCTTCAATCCCCAGCACCGCCAGGAGTGGATCCCTGAGCACAGCTGGGCACGGCCCCCAAAAGAAACAAAAAACTAAGAAGTTCCTTTTATATTTCAGAGCAAAGAAAAGGCATTTAAATGATATCTCAGAAATTATCATCACCCACATAGTCTTTCAAAATAAAGTGCCCTAAAACTGAGAAATGAATAATATAGGTTAAGAAAGGGGAAGATAACCGGGGAGGTGGATTGAATGCTCGAGCACAGGCCTTGCGGGCAGTTACCTCGGGTTCCATCACTGCAGGAATGGTCACCTGAACACCACTAGGAGTGGCTCTCGAGCACCAGCGGGGGATGGCCTCCTACCCTGAATAAAGGGGAAAATGCGCGAAGCAGAAAATAGTTGTTAGTGATCGCCCAATAGAATAAAACAAAATATTAACTACTATTAGTACAGCCGTGAACAATTTTAGACAGTTTCATTATAACTGGGGGATAGTTAGAAGGTGATTAAAATGTACCCGAGGTCTTCACCCCACCCTTCATTAACATAGATAGGCAGGATGAAACAGAATCACTATAATGGAGAAAAGAGCACAGGTAAGGTGCCTGCTTTGACCCCAATTAACCAGGTTCAACCCCTACATCGAATGCTGGCCCCTGAGCCAACACAGGTGTGCCTCACCTCCACTACCAACAGTCACACTGTAGTACTGTCATGCTGTTGTTCATCGGTTTGCTTGAGTGGGCACCAGTAATGGCTCCATTGTGCGACTTGTTGTTACTGTTTTTAGCATATCAAATAGCCATGGGGATCTTGCCAGGCTCTGCCATGCGGGCAGAATACTCTCAGTATTCTGGGTTCTCTGAGAGGACTTGCTGGGTTCTCCGAGAGGGATGGAGGAATGGAACCCAGGTTGGCCGTGTGCCCTACCCGCTGTGCTATCACTCCAGCCAACAGTAACAACTAAAACAAAACAAAACAAAACAAAACAAAACAAAGAAGTAAACACTCCAGGAAAGACACATTCTAAGACGAAGTGAAAATGAAGAGTTCTGTTCATTATTAAGAAGACACCTAAAATGAGATGACATAAAAAACCTTAAAAGAAAGGAAAAAATGACATAAAAAATGACATAAAAAACCTGAAAAGAAAGGCTGGGGATGTACCTCAATGCTACTGTATCGCATGGCTGAGTCTTGGGCTCTATCCTCAGAACCAATAAACCAATAAACAGCAAAACCCAGTGAGCAGATGCAA